ATTGTATTAGTTGTGTTTTCAAAGATATATGTGGTTTTGGGAGGAGATTGCTGCTGCTCTACTCACGCCGCCATCTTGGCTCCCTCCTCTCCGCAATTTTTTTTAAGCTGGAGAAAAATGTTGCCAGTAAAGAAGGTAGTGAGCGTACTGGCTGATGGAAAAGAAGATGAGATTGAGATCTGTTTATAAACTACTAGGGTCAGGGAAAGGACATAGATGACACAGTCAGTAGAGTCAGAAACCCTTAACTTAAGCCTGAATCATGGAAATAGTAGCCACAGAACAAGTGTCTCAAGGGAGAAACGATTTTTCTACATCCCACTGAGAAAATGCTAAGTTTTATCCCTGCTGATCAAGACATGTCAGAACCAAGCCTGAAGTAGTACATTATCCACACTGCTCAACAAAGAACAGCTTACTGTAGTGGAAGGAGATGATCTGGACTGATGGGACTAGAAGGGAATTCATTGTGTGCTTCATTGTACCTGTTTAATCCACCCAGTTACCCCGCATTTTACAGATGAGAAAAACAATGGTTAGTTTATCTGCAGTCATTCAGGCTTGGATCCACCTATTTGTTGCTGAATGGTCTTACACGTTTTATTTCATTTAGGGCAGTAGCCTTTTGAGGTGTTTGTACCCCCTATTAGTTGTGATGTGTGTGCCCAGCATCCTGGATTAAACTGGTGGCAACTGCTTTTCCCCTGCTATAGATTCCCAAGGAAAATAGTACATTGATTGGCGACTCCACACAAACTTTACTGGATTTTAGCACCAGTCCCTGGTGGAGTTCTGCCCCATGATTTTCTGGGGTAGCCAGGAAAGCTTCCTATTTGATCCTTTTATCTTGTTACTTGGCTTTTCTAGATCATGGATGTAGAAGGACATGCAATTTTCCAATGCACTAAGCCCAATCTTATGACCTGGCCATATAATAAGAAAAAGAAAGAACTGAGGCTATTGCAAGTAGTCTAAAAGTTAACAAACATTTTTTAAAATTTGCCTAAGTTATTTCTGTTACTTGTCTCTTTCCACTTTCAGTTAGAAATTTGTACAGTGGCTGGTTCCTTTGAGGTATGTAGTTAAGTCCTCTTTTACAGGTGAGGGAAGTGACACTTAGGAGATGTTGATTAACTTTCTCAGAATCACACATCTGGTGAGTGAGAGCAGGATATGTTCGCTACCCTAATTCCTCTTGGCAGTTGAGATTTTGGACATTTACCTACTTATAAAACATTGCCTTAGAAAAATGGTCAGATTCAACTTCATGGCCCTCAGTATTTAAACAGTCTTTTCTGTAGTTTGTATGCATGATCTTCCTTACAGACAGTTTTTAACCTGAGTCAGCCTTTCACCCAAGGGTTGAACTGCCTGGCTTAATATTCCAATTTTTTCATAGCCTGGATTTGTGAGATTTTGAGAGTTATTTCATTTCTTTGTGTCTTTTCTATGTAAATGGAGATAGGATAGGCATGAGGATTAAATACAAAGCACCAACACCATATGGTATACAGTAAATGCCCCCAAAATGTTAGCTGTTAGAATTATTGCTGCTTTGTAAATGTCTGGACATTTCTCCATACTTTTGGGTGGTAAGGTTTACAAATTTTTTTTTTTTAGGTTTACAAATTTTCAATGCCATATTCCATCAATTTGAGGATGCAAGCGTTTAGTATTATTGATGGCATCTTATTAAAGTCCTTTATCTCTGCTAACCTATTAGATTCTAAAGATAGAAAAATCTGTTCAAAGAGGATCCATCTCAAAACTGGATGTAAAATTGGTGAATTATCTATTTTGAATTATATAGGTCTGTTTTCGTATTTCCTGGAGAGCTAGTTACCCTGAGGACTAGGAGAGGCAAACAGGTAGAACCTTCCTTGCCTTCCTCTGTCTTCAGCCTGAACAGCTTCACTTTTATGAATAAGGGAAAAAACACTTCTGCTTTTAAAAACATTTGAAAACCTTTCATCTGTATAGTTCAGTTCTTCATTAGCTCCCTGATTTATATAAAAAATGTTTTTCAAGGTATTGAGGGTACTTAAAGAGAATTGTTTTGTAAAAGTTAGTGAGTCTTGCTAGCTAACAAGCTGAAGATGATGGGTTCAGGCATTAGATAGGTCATTGAGCATTACTGTGCCTGTTACCAGCCCCTTTATCTGGCGTTTGTGATTCAGTACATACTATGTGAGAGTTGCTGATGGTGAGTGCAAATCAGTGGCCATCTTCCTATGAAGATGTGTAGGCCAGCAGAAAACTCTGAGAAATAAAAATAGTTCATTACTTTGCCCTGTACCTAGGAAGGATGTAGGAGATCTAGAACTTTTGTATCATTCCTGAGATGTGATGCTGTTTATTCACCCTTGTGTCCTTGAAACATGTCAAGATCATGTATAAGTTCCAAGATATATTCCAAAACCAAATAAAAGTTTTTCCCAGGTGTTTTAACTTTCCTTGGGGACATTGTGGAATAGGTAGTTTGCCTTGTGGAGTCCCCTGTACCATTAACTTGCTAAGTACAGTTTTATAAACTTCTAGGAGGTCATATTTTGAATATCTTCACATATCACAAGCAAGTAATATCTCGTTTCCCTCAGAGATAGCTTGCCCTTCATTCTTCTTTCCTCTGTTGCCTTGCGGGGCACCCCCGCCACCCCCACAGCTTTTCGGTGCTTCTCTTTTCACCTTTAACTCTTTTCACCCCTCTTTGGAATTACCTTTATGCTTTTCGAATGGTGATTGAGAAAGGTGGAAGTAATATTAATAGAAAACAGACTTCTGTGGAGCTTCAAGGAAGTACAGAACAAAAATCGTTGAGACTTCCTCACGGAGCTTTTACTTTTTGTTTGGTTCCTCATAGAAATGAAATATGTTAAAAAACTCAAACCTAAAGCTTTTAGTTTCCATTCAGCTTTTTTCTCTCCGCAAAGCATTTCTCTTTTCTTTCAGAGCAGGCAAAAAAATGCAGGAACAACAAAACTGAGAAGACAAAGCTATTTTAAAGAAAATGCCTTCTTGTGTATTAGCCTTCCCACCATCCTCCTTCAAGTGGTAAGAGCCTGTGTGGAGAAGGCAGTGTTGATCCTTTTTTGTGTGTTTGAGTTTTCCTTTAAAAAGTCTTCAGATGAATAATTCTTGATCACAATATAGGTATGTCACAGGGAAGGCAGTACATCACAGAGAAGACAGTGACTCTATAGCATCTTACTACTATGATAGACAGTGAGGGCTTGATAATATGGGTGAATGTTGAAAAACAATGTTCATATGAAGCCTTCATAAGATTTTATATCATTCATACTTTAATTTAGAAAGAAAGAAAATCTTCAGATGATTTTGGAGTAGGGTGATTAACAGCCTACTTTTTCTTTTTTCTTAATTCATTTTACTCTTTCTCGTGGCTAGGCAATTAAGGTGTTCCTTGGCCCCCTTAGGGCTGATGTTCTCTGGGACTTAGATATACCTCTCACTTTTTCATACAGTGGCCCTTCTTAACAACTCCAGGTCTCCCTTTTGCTCTCTGTATCTTGGGGATTCCCCAGCTAGCATGCATTCTGAGTCTGGTCTCACAGGGTCACACAACAAGCAGTGTTTTTCAACTGTTCCATGCATGTTTCTTGTCACATTTTGAAAAACACGACTCCCTGGTCTTTTCTTTGCCCTTTGTATCTTCCAGATTAAAAAAGTAGAAATTTAACTTGCTCTGTTTTCCCCAAGGTAACCACTACTGTAGAGCCCTCTTAAGACACACGGTCTCAATAAAAATTTTTACCTGGTAGGTGATAGTCACATTTCTCAAGAGAGACCATGGGCCCTGGGGTTAGAATCCCTTGTGCAGGTTATTTTAGCATCTAAATCCTTACCCACCTTAAGTGGTAGTAATGATACAGGACTGGATGAAGTTTTGTGAACTTATTTAGTAAATGTTAAGTTCCCTTCCTCTAAATAACTTTTAATAATGTAGGCAGGTTCAAGTAAATTCTTCAGAAGCTTTTTTGTTGGTCTTGACTTTGTCTTAAATGAAAGCATGGCTACTTCATTAGCAAAATTGGAAACCAGGTCCATATGAAAAGTCAAGTACTTAAGCACCTATTTTATGTCAGTCAAGATACATCTTTGTCTTTAGGGGTGATAGATACAGTGTGGTGTCTTACAGTTCTGTTTCTGGCCTTGTCTTTCAAAATTCTTAAACTTCCCAAAGTAGACTTCATCCTCTGTGACTTTTGGTCATTCTCCATCTATATAGCCAGGGCCAGATGGAGTACAGCTGGCAGGGGTTGTAGATGACAGTTTGTAGGAATTTGGGCAGCTTTATAGAATCAATCTTTACTTGAAAGATTGTTCAATAATGTTTAAAAATAAAACAGATTGGTTTTGCGGTTCCTCCATTTGCTTTTAACTTCAGTTAACTTCCCCGTCTTCTGATTTTTTTGGTTTCAGTGGTTCACCACTGCTGGAAGACCACAGAGATGCATTTACACAGGCAGGAATTTGGTTACCTTTGAAGAATTTTATGCCTGGCACCTACCTATTATATTCAGCAAGGTTGCTTTAGGGAAATGAACATGGCTTGTCCACATTAATAACATGATGCTTAATTGCTAAAAGAATTATATAGCCTTTAGCTTTATTGTAGTTTCCCATTGAAAAGCACATGCTAAAAGATTGTTTTGGTGACCTAGATGTACTGGAATTCAACCTCATAAATTCTAGTCATTGTTTTGCTATTTATTGGGACATTTGGGGGCAAGCCTCTTTAAGCCTTTTAGTACTTATCTTTTAGGTTGATTGTGTTTTTAAATTAACTTTGAGGTACTAAATGCAATTTATCTTTCAAGGTATTTGTACTTAAAAAATGGAAAAGGGAGGGGTTCTTTTTTTCCCCCCTTAATCTTCTGCTGTGGTGACAAAGGGGGCTTTTCTTAGGAAAAAATCTGCATTATCTGGATTATGAGAAGTGTAGGTATGGTCCACTTACTTTTCTTTCCTTGGTTTTTTAGAGTGAAGACATAGTCCAGAGAGGGAGGTGTAAAGCTACAGGTATGGGCTAACTGCTGGATGGGTGTGCTCTGTGGTCATCTTTTTTAACCTTCTTGCATGAAGCCTGTTGTGTAGATATGAAAAGATTGCCTTCAGAATGGTGATGGGTTTTTTTCTGCATTGTGGGATATAACTTCCTGTTCCTACTAGGAAGCTAGAAATATTTTCTTGCTCTTTCTCATTTCTTCCTCCTTAGCTGTTTCCCAAGGCAGGGTTATCTCCTCCTTGAGGTAGCTGCCTAGTACTAATGTGCGTGATTGCATGTGTGTGTCTGTGTGTCTGTGTGCCCTGCTGACTTTCTTCCTTCATTCCACTTCATAACCGGAAGACCGAAGTCAACTAGAAAAAGGATGAGGCTGGGACATAATGGATTTTACACAGAAAATACCCTCTTGGAGGAAGAATTTGTTCAACATAACTGATTTCCTAATCAGCCCTGGAGCTTAAATAAAGTTTAAACTTACAGTGTATTATTACCAACTAAGAATTACACTTAAGTCCCAGAACTAGTTTGATAATTGAAATATGACCTGATTTGAAGGGTGGTCATGATTTGACAAGAGTTTATTAGTTTAGGATTAGTCCCAGAAACTTCAGTGGAACCGACAGTACTAAACACAGAAGAGGGTCTTTCTGCTAGTCCTTATCTGTGGCACTGGAGGAGGCAGTAGTAGTGATTAAGGATGGGGGAAGAAATGGAAAATTGTTAGATTTCAAAAAAGGTAGTAGTTTTCCTCCCTTTTTGGTTTGTTTTAAATTACATGTGATTGTCACATTTTTGCCAACAGCTCCCACAAAGTGAGATGCCAAAGAGATAATTACCAATTTAGGTCAGTATATTTTTGCATATGCAAGGTTCTGAATTGGGAGCCCTAGGAGACCCACTAAATTGTATTAGAAGTACTCAATTTTTAAAGTGAAACTGGAGTCCATAAACGTTTTAAGCTAAAATTTTAGGTTATTCTGGCTGGTTATTTTCAAGTTGTATCAATTGCTTACTACGTTTTTTACGTCCCTTATATCATCCAACTGCCAGAATCTCTGAGAGAAAAAATATGCAGTACATTTATCTGTTATGACTTTTCCTTATATATATAGACTGATGGTGATTTTCAGTGACTTAGGTTCTCTTTTATAAATTTAGTAGGCTCTAATTTCCTCTATGCTCATATAACCAAGAGTTCAAATTTTTGCCCTTAAAACACATTTAGATTATTGGGTTGGAAGTATACAATCCCTCCCTGTCATTGAACTCTCCCTGGTTTTTACATCAATCAAGATAGCCTGACATTTGCACGCACCACTGGGGCTTTTTTGCTCAACTATGCCTTTCTTTGCTTTTTTCACTCTTTAGACAACTTATGCTGTAATTTTTAACATTTCTTTCCTTTAATCCAGTTTTTTTTAACTGTTTATTCCATTCCTGTATTCTAAATGCAGGGTGTGTATTTCTTCAGAGGGTTTCTCGTATCTACTGACATTTTTAATGATTTGGGTTCTTAATGTTACAGCAGGCTGATTGCCCCTACCCTCACATAATTAGGCTTTGAATTATTACCCTTAGAAAAGAAGTAGAGAATTTTCAAGGCAGGGAAAACTGAGACAGGCAGACAACCAGGGAAAGAAGAGGGAACTATGTTAAGATCATAGAGGACATGGTACAAAGGGAGTGAGGGAAAGTTAAGGCCTTCTTTGGTTATAAGCCTTCCTGCCATCTCTTTATTTCTAGTGCATCTTTTGTGGGAAAAGCCTGGGATGTGTTTCTAATTAAGAAATTTAAAAACAACTATGGGCAATTTTCTGTGAATAACTTCTAATTCCACTTTTTAATTTATCTTAACATCTGCATTTTTGTATTCCCATAATTGTTTTTATCGTCACTTAGTAACTCTTTAAAAATTGAGTGACTTGTGATTAATTTCTGTGCTTTTCCCACAAGCATGTTAAATTTAATTATACTGAGATAGCTCTTGTGACCTGTCTAAAGGTGGAATGTCATTTCCATCTTGTATGTTTTTTAAAGCAGTGCTTTTATAAGTCGTAAAATGGATTTTAAAACATTACATCAGTGTCTCCCAACTTTTGGCTTGGTAAACATTTACTGTAAGGAAGTGCACATCCTTTCACACACTGAGCAGTTCCTGGCTACTCAGTAGCATCTACCATATATAAGTACTCTCTTGTTATAGCTATGCTTCTGATTAAAACAGAGATGTAGTTAGTGGAATTTAGGTGTTGCTAATGAATAATAAAAACGACAAAAACCAGTGGGATTCCCTTAAAATTTGTTGATTCATTTTTAAAGGAAACCTTGAACTAAAACATCTAATTTGGTTGTTGACTGACCTCACAAAGTTAATCCTTGGTCCAGGGAGCTTTCTATAGGAAGAGGCATATGATCAACTCCACTGGACATAGAAGTAACTAGGACAAACCTACCCAGTAACTTAAGCTGTCGCACCTGCCTGGCAGTTAGTAGCTGGTGTGCTGTGTGCTTAGTGCTGATTGCACTGGCTCCTCTCATTTGCAACCTGGTGTTGCTTCCTCTTCTAGTAGGATGGAAGAGTACTCCTGCCATTTCTGTCTCTAAAGTAGTATCTCAGATGAACCATAGTCTCTGACAAATAGAAAAGCAGTTAGATAAATTTATGTCTGGATATTGGACAGAAAACACAGTTTCTTCCTTGCTCAGTCAGATTCAGACAGGTGTTAACCATTGTTACCCAGACTGGAATAGTTAGGGCCATACTATGACATGCTGCCTTTCCTTTTTTTTTTTTCCAAGTAACTCTATACATTTAGGAGTTCATTTGTTTACCTCTTTACAGGCTGAACGTAACTTCTTTTTTTCAAAGTTCCCTGTGTTGTGAACTGAGCTTGAGTGAAGTGAAATCTCTTGAGGTAAGGCAACCCTAATGATAAAAATGGGAAGAAGGCCTGTGAAATTTGGGAACCTTCAGAGAGAGTTTTAGTCACTGCCTAAATACTGAAATGCCACCATTTGTTGTTTGGAGGAGGGTGTATAACTAAATTGAGAACAGGAGCCACCACATCTGCCTTGACAACTAAGTATATCCATCTCCACTGTTCATCCATCATAGAATGTTTATGTGTACATTCATTAATCATAGTTTTAGCAACAGTTTAAAGGAGTAGAGAGAATGAAGAGCCTTAGTTTACATTCCTCTGTCCTTCCATGTTTGAGGTTTGCCTACACTCTGTCCTTCCATGTTTGAGGTTTGCCTACACTCTGTCCTTCCATGTTTGAGGGTTTGCCCTTGTAGGCCCCAGTTCTTTTTCATTATCATCACTGTGGGGGCTTTTGTTTGCTTCTCTTTGTTTTTGTTTCTTTAGCAAGGTCAAACAACTGGAAAGACATTTCTTAGTACTCTATCGAGACAGAATATTACTATTCCATTTTTATTTTCACTTTTTTATTTTCTGGCAAATTAAGTGTAAATTAAGAGTAAAGAAGTTTTGCCTATGCCACTTCATGAATGACACTGAAGCAGGAATTTTTAAAGGCCTTTGTGTGGATGATAAACCATTAAGTAGCACACTTTGCTCTAACACCATCAAGAAAGCAAGGTCGGTGCAGTGTAAGTAGTAGAATGTGAGTAGTGAGTCGTGGCCTCTTCTTCAGCCAGCTTGCCTCTGGCCTGCTTTGGATTGTCTGAACTACTACTGCTCCTTATGCAACTATCTGGAGATTAGTTTGAACTCAGGCACTGTGCTCATTGCTGTCTTTGGCACATGGAAATAAGTTCAGACCAAGGCTAACAACCCAGTTCTTCTTTCCAAACGATAACCATTTTCAGACCGTAGGAGGTGAGGTTTTTGGGTTTTTTTTTTTTTGTTTCAGGTAGTTTCAAGCTTTGGAGCTCCTCAAAAACTGATTTGCAGGGAGGAGTTTGGAGGATATGAAACAAGTTTGTTTCTTCTGGTCTGTTAGCTACTGCTGTCTTCATGGATCTGACACTCTATTTATCTGACAGTGCACTTAGAAATGCTTTGCCAGGGAAAATCACACAAAACAAGCCTGGTGCATCAGCACTTTCATTGTGTGCCGGGCTGAGCCTCCGTTCACATAGTCACATCACCCTTTTAATCCAATGCTCCCCTTCCCTTCCTCAGTCCTGCCTGTTTCTGTGGCACTTATTGCTGGTTTCCCTGAGCTCCTGTTTCCACTTTGTGTTTTTTGTGGGGCCCAGGAAGCTAAAGCTGTGTGTATTTGTGGATCAGACAAGTGCAGCAAGTTAATGTCACTGGCTTCTGAAGGGGAGAGTGAGGTGATGGCTGCGTTTAAGTTGGATTTCCTTCCAGAAATGATGGTGGATCATTGCTCTTTGAATTCCAGTCCTGTGTAAGTATTTTTGTTATCTAATATTTATAAGCAGAGAAACAGGGCTTCTTTCTTTGTTATTTGATGAACTGGTTCCTTTCCTTAAATGAGGGAAGAAAAAATTGGGTGAGGAAGCCAAAGTCCATGCTACTGTTATTTTCTGTTGTAGTCTGACTTTATCTTACTTCTGCTGATTTCCTCAAGGCTACAACTAAGTTCTGTGCATGGGGTGGGTGCGTTTGATATATGACCAGTAACATCAACTCAAGTGTGCTGACTCGAGTCCCTTCAAGCTGTGGTGTTTCCCCATAAAATAAATAAATTCCACGTTTTTTTTTTTTAAACAATATAGTTATATTGCTTTGGGTTGGGTATGCAGTTTCAAATAATGTTTTGGGAAGTTATTTATGTATTAATGATAAATTCTTAGACTTAATATCACAGAGGAAACTGGTGGCCTGGCTGTATTTAGTAGTGTATATCAAATGCTGTATTGACATGTTAAGTGTAATCCTGGACCTTGATTCCATCTGTCCCCACAAGTCCAATAGAAAGTGCAGCAGAATACATGATGGCCGAGACATCAAATGTGTTCCGGTATTCCTCCCTGCTACCGCCCCCCCACAAAAAGAAAACTGGATCAATTTTGATTGGCACTTTGCCCACAAGAGTTTTGAAAACGGGAATGAGAAACCTAATCAGTTTACAGTGCTGTTCAAGAAGTGACACCGCTGTTGTACACAGAGGAAATGCTAACCTGGCCCTGAGCTGTAGCTCCTGGGAGCCTGAATTCTGGGCTCTGTAGAGAAGACACACTTCTAACTCTTGATTTCAGTTACTTTAATCTTGGAACCTTAAGCAAATGACCTTACGTTATTCAAAGCCAAGAATATTAACTATGTCTAGGGATATTCCCTAGATAACAGGTGGTAGATACAAGTCTTTGAGTTTAGGCCTCCATGTGCAAATCAGTCTACCCTGTGGTTAAGTGTAACTGGTGTGAATAATAACAGATTCTGGACAGTTCTTTGTGGAATACTTTGTGGGGTTTCAGAGTTAGCTGGCTTGCTCATTTGAGATGGATCCCATGCCTTTCCTGTAGTCTTCAAAATACTGGTAAATTAAATGCGTCTCCTTGTGAGTTTTTTTTTTACTGCAGAAATAGTTTAGACAACAGGTGAAATCACAACAAATGCCATCATAAAGACTTAACACATAATAAAAATATTTCTGTGTATCAGACACATTGATCCCTAGTAATTGGACTTCATGGCTCAAATTATCTTCCATTGTAATACTTTCTATGCTGGGCTACTGCCTGATGTTCATTCCTTAGATACAGCATTTTCAGCCTGTTTTCTCATCTTTTATGAGGTTGGATTAATTCCCATGAAATCTGGATCACTGCATAAAAGTTGCTGCAAAAATGCATATTCCTGCATCCATGTCCATGAATTTTTATGCTAAAATAGGTCCCAAAAATCTGTATTCTAACGGTGTCCCATGTGGTTTTCATGCATGCTGAAGTTTGAGAACTAATGGATTAAACAGCCATTCTGATTAGAGGTAATCAGAGCATACACTGTTAAATCATTTTTATCCATGTGCCTTAGCTTTTGTTTTAGACATTCATCTTTACAGAAACTTTGTGAGGTTTTTTGGACATAAGCTATTCTCCCCATTTTACAATGAAATGAGAAACGCAGTTGAGAGAAGCTAATAACTGACTAGCCTAAGGACAGTTGGTGACAACCTTGGGTCGCAAATGCCAGCTTAACTATACCCTCTTTATTTTTGCTCCCTAGACCAGGTTGCCTCAGGTGTCATTGAGCAGTTACCCGTTAACTATTACTATGAGCCCCCAGGCCTGCTCCCATGGGCACCATACACTAAAACACCGAAGAGTTGAGAACAACGTACTTCAGGATGGTGTGTGCTTGCCTCCTCTTTTGAATTCTTAGCTTTTCTTTTCACTTGTACTACTTTAGCAGGAGGCTTGAGACATCAGTGGTTGTCTGTGATGTGATTTCACCTGGAAATGTGATTTAACAATGTTACCTATTTCAAAATTTCTTTACAGCAGAGAAGAATTGCTGGAGGAGCTGTGGAAGGGCCAGGGGACCTGAGTCCTGGTTCCTCTCTTTGTAACAAATGCCCTTGTTTCTCTCTGAGCACTCTTCAGGTTCTGCTGGTTCCTCTTACTATGCTCATACACATGAATGTTTTCCATTTGTTTTTTGGGCCTTTTACTCTTGCTTCCCATTGCTTAAGGGGGCACTAATGTGCTTCTCTCTTTCTTAGATCTGTATCTATCTGTATCTATTCCCCAATTGCCTCCATGCTCTCTGACTTAATTTTAAATACCGACCATTGGATACCTCTATCTGGATGCTTCCTCCCACGGAAACAGTTCCCCATTTTGTCTCTGCTGGAACCCAGGAGTGATCAGTAACTTCTTCCTTTCCCCTGTCTCCTTTATCTAGTGATTTCTGAGTCTTAGTGGATACTGCCCGCCGCCCCCCCCAAGCCCCGCCTCCATTTTCTCAGCGTTGTTTGAGACAGGACTTAATCTTAGCAGCTAGTTTCTGCAAGAGCTTTTTTTCTTTTTTGAGAGGGCATCTCTCATATTTATTGATCAAATGGTTGTTAACAACAATAAAATTCTGTATAGGGCAGTCAATGCTCAATGCACAATCATTAATCCACCCCAAGCCTAATTCTCGTCAGTCTCCAATCTTCTGAAGCATAACGAACAAGTTCTTACATGGTGAAGAGTACAAGGGCAGTCATCACAGAAACTTTCGGTTTTGATCACGCATTATGAACTATAAACAATCAGGTCAAATATGAATATTTGTTTGATTTTTATACTTGATTTATATGTGGATCCCACATTTCTCCCTTTATTATTATTATTATTTTTATTTTTAATAAAATGCTGAAGTGGTAGGTAGATGCAAGATAAAGGTAGAAAACATAGTTTAGTGCTGTAAGAGGGCAAATGTAGATGATCAGATGATCAGGTGTGTGCCTATGGACTAAGTATTAATCCAGGCTAGACAAGGGCAGCAAAACATCCACGGATGCAGAAGATTTCTCTCAAAGCAGGGGGGGTGAGGTTCTGAGCCTCACCTCTGTTGATCCCCAAATTCTCACCTGATGGCCCCCCTGCGACTGTGCCTGTCTTAGGTTGTTCCTCCCTTGAGGAATCTTACCCGTCTCTGGCTAACCAGTCATCTTCCGGGGCCATACAGGGAAATGTAAAGTTGGTAAGTGAGAGAGAAGCCATATTGTTTGCAAAGGTTAGCTTTTTACTTCTTTGCAGATTTATGCCCTGTGGCTTCTATGCCCAGCA